GTTCACCTGGAATTGAGGCCCCTTGAAGCCAAATCCAAGAGGCACAGTAAGTAAATGAGCTCCCCCGCTCTGTGCAGGAGCTGAGTGTGGTGTCAGGGCAGAAAATACACCTTCAGCACCAGTAAGGTGAGTGTTGGAACACCTCCCTCGCTGGGCTGTCTTGAGGCTGAGGCCTCTGCCCTTCCTCAGAGTGCCTGGCACACGCCGAGTGTTCGTTCAACTTCAGGATGTGGGACCCACCTACAGAGATGCAGCTCGGCTGAAGGGTCTGAGTGAGCAAGTTGGGAAGGTGGGGGACCTGTGGGTGGAGGACAGTGGGACCCTAGGAGAGTGGTTTTGAGGAAGAGCAATTTGAATAGATGACAAGGTCCAGGATATGGGCATGGGAGGATAAAGTGAGTTAAAGGAATGAGAGACCAGACTGCAAGGGACATAAACCCAATTTCAACTAGCTTATGTGAAAAGCAAGTATCAGCTCACAGAATAGCCAGGTCTATGTAGCTTCAGGCATGGCTGGATCCAGACGCTGCATTAATGTCCTTAGTTCTTGGCTCCACCTTTATGTCTTGGCTCTTTTTTCAGGTGGGTTTTCCCTATGTGTTGACAAAGATGGCCACTGGCAGCTCTGGCCCCAGTGTCCCTACCCTTAGTGATCCTGGGCGAGAGAGCACCTCTTTCTCACTAGTTCCATGAAGTCTCAGGATTGACTCATTGAACTCACTGGGGTCAAGAACCAGTTTCTCCAATCATTGCAGCCAAGGAACAGACTAAACACCCAACAGCCAGGTCTTTGGTCACGCAACCATCCCTGGGACTGGTAGGGTCAGACCCCCCAGAGCCATGTGGCCTGAGAGTAGGGGAGCGGTTTGTCTCCAGAAGAAAATTAAAGTGCTTTTTATTATCAGAAGAATGAGAGATGCTACCTGGAGAAGATAGGCCTTGGTGTGGACAAGAAGCCAGAGGCTAAGACTTCAAAGAATGGAGGGGGGCGGTGGTGACAAGGGTGTGGGAGGCAGCATCAGGGCCAGAGGCTGCTGGAAGAGCCAGGTGGTGTGAGCAGTGAAGGGCGGATTTCAGTGGGAAACCTGGAAGGACAGTGTGGCATAAGGCCAACCTGAAGGGCGCTTTGGGGCCTTGGAGCTCACGGGATGTCTTCAAAGGATAGAGAGTCAGTAGGGGTGGAGCTTTGGTCAGGGAGGACTCTGGGAAGGGGAGGTGGCTCAGTGTAAAGGGTTGGGCAGGAAGGAGCAGTGTCCACACGCCCAGGTTCCTGCAGCCCTTCCAACCCTCTCTGAACCTCAGGGCAACCTAGGAGAGGGTCAGAAACCCAAGCCCCAGGCCCCAGCCTCAGATGCTGACTTGGACAACTGGGGTGAGCCCAGGTGGCATCTGGGCTTGGGTTTCTGGTTTAGGGAAAGAGGGTGTGGAATGGGAGGGCTCCCGTTTAGCTGGTCAGGAGCGCCATCCCCCAGAGCCCTGGGGAGGCTGCGGCCTCTCACTGCTGCTAGCTGCTGGTGGCCTATTGCTTGGCTCTGCAGGCAGCTTAGGACCGGCCGAGGCTGGCACGGTGGCCCTGTAGCAGGGCACTGGGCACACTGCCTCAAAATCAAAACTGCAAAGTAGATGAAGCTGTTACTGATCAGTAAGTGGCCAGGACATGGGCTGACAAGGTGGGTGGAGTTCCCAAGAACTGAAAACAGCCTTTGCCTTAATGCCAACCAGATCAGGGCCCCATCTGGCTCTCAAGTCTCTCTCTCCGAGCTTCTGCCTTGAGGGCAATGATGTGGTACCCCTGTGACTTCTGTCTCCCCACTTCTCCCACACTGGAAGCGTGGGCAGGGCAGGCACCTGTGCTGGTTTGGCCCGCTGCTGTGTGCCCTGGGCCCAGGCCAGGGCAGGGCAATAACACATTGGCAGCTGGCCCTGCAGTTCCCTGCGGCAGGAAGCAGTGGGGAGAGCCTGCAGCAGGGTGGAGAGAGACTTGAAGTGGGACTGGCTGGCCACTTGCCCAATGTGGGAAGGGTCTGCCCCGTTACCCAGCCTGTGTGCCAGAGGAGGGTAGTGGCTGCCAGGCCATGGTCAGGGTCACTTGCTGGCCAGGGCCTCTTCTCCAGGGGAGATCCCCTGAAGCTCTCTCACCTACTTGCTCAGCCTGGTCTGTGCATATGCACTACCCTAGAATGCTGTCTGGCTTTCCACTGCTCCAGGGCTCTCCCTGTTTTGCAGGGTTGTCCCTTCATAGGAGCAAATGTCAGAATAGGCCTCAAGTCTAGTACTCAACTAGAGGCACAACTATTCCATATGATGGACACGAAGGGTGGGAGGGCGTCCCAGGGTTGAGGGTCATTCCTGCCAATTTGTCTGTAACCCTGGGTCCCGTGTGCACTCCAGAGTAACTTACAAGCTCCAGGAGGGTCAGAGCCTTGCTCAGACCACACCTGTTAGTGGTGAGTGAACCAAAACCTGGCTCCACTGTCCCTGTCACAGTAACACGAAGCCTCACTGAATTCGCAGTCAGTAAGCTCTGTGAAGGCCCAGCGTGCGGTGACCTTGTGAGACGTGAAGGTCTCTAACCCGCAGACCCCGCAAAGCCCCCGCTCCCCCACCCCCCAGGCGGTGGACCCAACTGCCCATCTACCAAGATAAACTCCGCACCTCCTTCGGGGACCAACCGGCCCCCGCTCATGCTGGGCTCCGGACCTGCACCTCTAATGGATCCGGGATGCTGGGGACCCGCCCCCCATCCAGCCCAAGCCCCGAGGCGGCCGCGCCCAACCCTACTCCACTCGTAAGAAAACAAGAGCGGTTCAAAGGTTTAAACAATTTATTGTGCCCAATTTATTGTGCCCCAAAAACGGCGACGAGAAAAAAGAGCGCCGCGCGGCCCCGCGCCCCGCGCGATTGCTCGGCGCGCGCCCGTTAAGAGGCAGGGCGGGGGCGGGAAGGACTGAGCGGCCGTCGCGTCCTCGCGCGCAGGCGCGGCGCGGCCTTCGGAGCCCGGTAACCAAGGCGACACCCGTTGCCAAGGGCGAGAGCCAATAGGAGCATCGCCAGGGCCGTTTCAAAAATCTAAAGCAAACAAAAAAACGCTCCCACGCGGGGGATGGGCAGGCCAGTGCGGGCCCGGGTCCCCTGAAGTCGGAGCGCGCACGGCGGCCCGGGCCGGTGCCCCGCGCAAAACCTACGTGCAGTCGGGGTGGAAAAGCGGGCGCCGGGGCCCCGCGTTCACTTGCGGCCCTTGGGCACTTTGGGCACGCTGGGCTTGGCCGCCTTCTTCACCTTCTTGCCGCCCGCGGCTGCCGCCTTCTTGGCCTTGCTGCCTTTGTCCTTCTTGGAGGCGGCACCCTTCTTGTGCGAGCGCTTCTCGGGCTGCGGGCCCTTGGCGGGCTTCTTGTCCGCGCGCCGCGCAGGGGCCGCGCTCGGGGCCGCCTTCTTGGCCTTATGCGCAGCAGGCGCCGGGGCGGAGGCGGGCGCCGGGGCTCCGCGCCGCTCCCCGCCGCCCTCCAGCTTCTTGCGGTTGAGCTTGAAGGAACCGTTGGCGCCGGTGCCCTTCACCTGCAGCAGCGTATCGTTCTGCACCAGCGCCTTGATGGAATACTTGAGGTAGGTGCGCCCGTTTTGCTGGTCGAACCATGCCACCTTCTTGGCCTCCGCGTAGATCTTGGCCAGCGACGAGCCGTTGCGCTCGCCCAGTCGGCGGATGGTCTCCACCACCAGCTGGCTGTATTTTCCTGGTTGGTTCTTCTTCTTGCTATTCTTCCTTTTTTTGGATGGGGACAGCGAGGTTGAGCCGCCGGCCTTGGCCGCCTTCTTGGCCGCCCCCTCGGCGGTCGTTAGCGGCAGGGCCTCCTCCAGCTCCACAGACATGGTGGCGAGCGGGTTGGTGGCGGGCGGGGCGCGGAAGCCCGGGGGCCGCGCCGGGAAGAGAAAGGCGAGGGGCCGCGGGGGCGCCGGGGGGCTGGGGGCGCGCGGCGGCTCCAGGCGGGAGCGGCCGCGGCCGTGCCTGGGGCCGGGCGGCAGGGCTGGGGTGGGGGCCGGGCCGGCCGAAGCGGGGGTCCCGAGCCGGGGCCGGCGCGGGGTCGGCCGGAGCGCAGGAGTCCGACGCGAGGTAGCCGGAGCGGGGACCGTCTCGGAGCGGGTTTAGTCGGCCTCACGAGCGTCGCCGCCTCCGCCAAAGCTCGTTCGGCGTGCGCGCTGGGCTCTGGCGAGGAGGGCGCCCCGCTCCGCTTTTATGGCTCTACGGCGGACCACGTTGAGAACAACAACAGCCTGGTCCGGGGCCAGCGCCAACTTGTGCTTCTTGGAGCCCCTTCCCCGGCCGCTGGCTTCCCAGACCGCGCCTCCCCGGCGCCGCCGCGCCCGCCGCTGTGCGCCCCGGACAGGGCCCGAGCCTGCGGCGTGGCGGAGAGGCCGCCCGCGCCCAGGGAGGGCTCGGCAGAGGGGAACGGAGGGGCGCACCCTAGGCTGCGGGAGCGCGAGAGGAGGGGGGCACCCCGTTTAGGGCCGAATAGCGCGGGACCCCGGGGAGGCTCCGCGGCCCGGAGCTCGGCGGCAGTCAGCCAAGAGTGGTCCACGGGCCCCCAAGGCCAGACCGCGTCCGGGGGGGCCCTGGCCTGCCCGCTAGACGCGCTTTAATTTGTTCGAACTAACACAGGGCACGCCCTCACGCGGTCGGCTAGGGCAGTGTGGAGGGAGCCGGGACGGCTTCGAGGGGGGTCTCCGCCAGAGTGCAAGAGGAGAGCGGATGCTGGCGCCCTCCCCTGCGCGCCCGGGGTCTCCTTACGCCTCGGGGGCTGGGCAGGACGCGGGAGGCGGCGGAGAAGACCGCAGGTGCTTCTCTGGGGACATTTCCTAGCCGCCGTCCCCCCCGCCCGCCCGCCCCGCCCCCGCCCCCGCCGCAGATGCTACAGCGCCCCATTTTATGGTGGGTGAGCAGCCTCCATCATTCCCCCCAAAGCCAAATGGCGGCTCCGGCTGGGAGAGAGGGGAAGGCCACGGACTCCGGACGGTTTCCCGGAGAGGATGGGGGAGGGGAGTTGCTCCTCGTTCCGGGCCACACCCCTCCCCCTCCCGTGTGGGGAGCGCAGTTGAGAGCGGGGGCTCCCTCTCCGGGTACCACGCGGAGGCTTGTGCAAATCTGGTGGCCCTGCCGCTGGGTCCAGTATTGGGGGTGCGGAGGAGGCGCTGGACCATCTTTCTTGAAGCCAAAGGAGCCCCCACTTGGGGAGCTGAGGCCACGGGGAGACGCTCCGGGAGGAGGGCGGATCCCTTTGGGGTGAGTGATTTAGGCCCGGATCCTGCGGCCGCGGCCACGGCCACGGCAGGATAAACAGTCCCTGAGGCCCGAGCATGGAGGAGAGGGGGTGGGACGGGGTGGGGGTTGGACTGGAGCTCCAGGGGTGAGAAGAGGTGCAGGCCGTGAAAGCCAAAAAAGCGGGGTGCGTTTCGGGCCTTCTGACCCAGCAGGCCCCCTGAGCGGTCTGTGCTTCCCCCTGTCACAGCGCTTGTCCGGCCCCCATTTGCTTTCCGACAAGCTGGGGAATAAGCCCCAGGGGAGAAGGAAATTGAGGCTGGTGGGGTGTTTGCGGGGGGTCAGGGGCTTGAGCCACAAAAGGGGGCAGAGAGTACAGCCCGTAGGAGAGGGAAGATGGATCTTAGCCCGGGCTCCTGCAGAGAAGGCCAAGACCCTCTCCCAGGGAGGAGGGCCGCTTAGCGAGCCCAGCCCAGGTGACGAAAGACCATCCGAAGTTCCTAACGTGGGGGGGGGGGGACACACGGGTCTGTGAGAGCTGAGCCTTGGGAGGAATGGGGCGCAGTGGCAAGGAGCTTGCACATACTGCATGGCTTGAGCAAAGACCTCGGGTTCCGAAGATGTGTGCAGGGTGAGAAGCAGCGAGGTGTAGACCCCGTGCCCCCGAGGGGTCTGCCTGGGAGCAGAAGCCCTGGGAGTGAGCAGAGGGTGGGTGTGCTGGGGGTGGGCGTGGCGGCCCTCCCAGGAGGACCAGGGCGCACTGAGGTCGAGTGGGAGCAGGGGCGCCCACGAGAGAGCTGGCCCAGGGTCCCCGGGCGACTGGCACGAGGGGCTCCAGCTTGGGTCTCTGAAAGGTCAAAGGGAGAGCAGAGGGTGATAGCCCAGAAGGACCCCCGACTGAAACCTGCCCAGCCATCGCCGTGGAGGGGGCCAGGTCGCTGGAAATGTGAATCTGGAGCTGGTTGCAGTAGCAGGCGGGGTGAGGGCTGTCTCCCCGGGTCATCGGAGGGGAAGGAAGGACGTGGGGCTGGCCGGAGAGGGAGGCTGCCCGTTGGAGACAGAAGGAACGGTCAGAGGGGAAGGGACGGCCAGGCGTGGCTGGTGTCCTGGAAGCCGAGGAGGAGAGAGTTTCAAGAAAGAAGGGCCGGTCTGTCCAGTGCAGCTCCCTCAGGAAGCTGCTTGACCCTCAGAGCCAGCTTCTGAGACCCTTTGCCTGGACCCTGCCTGTTTCGCCTGGTGTTTTACCAAGACCTAAATTACTTCCAGGATTTAAAAATCAGGCGATTTCAGTAAAAATGCAGTCCAGATTTCAGATTTCCCTTTTAAAAATCTGAAGATTTGACCGGGGTGGGTTGGGGGGAGTGGGCAGAGGGTGCAGGGCCTGAGTAACAGTTCAGTGAAGGGTGCTGGGAGGCTCCCTTGCCCTGGGGGAGGCCTGGCCGTAACTGGAGGAGAGAAGGAATCAAAGCAGGGAATGGACACATGCAGGCAGGGCAGTCCACAGGGAGGACGCAGCAGACACGGCTCGAGAGTCCACACCGGCCCTGCTGGGCTCCTTGGCCTGCCCAGAGGCGCGTTGCTGCCTGGGGCCCAGGGCTCAGGGAGACTAATTCTAGGCTTTGGGAGTGAGCAGGGGGGCGATTTCCTCCCAGTGACCTCATTATACAAGTGAGGACACGGAGGCCTGGGTGGCAGTTAGTAGCTTTACCCAGTTCTCCAGGACGCTAGGCCTTCAGGGATGCCTCTTGAACCGAACGCGCGCGGGTAGCCCCCTGCCATCCTTCTAAGGACGTCACAGGTGGGGAAGGCCTCACGTGGCCAATGGGAAAATGCCAAAATACGGGAAAAGGAGCACCTGGAATTGGCCAGGGCCTGTTGGAGAGGGCCACCCCTTCCCCAGGGCCGGGGGTGCATATTCTGGGCGGGTGCACTCTCCCTAGGCAGGCTCCTCCAGTCCTGGGGCTCCAAACACCATCCATACATTGGTGACGCCCATTTCTGTCTCTCTCCCGAGTAACAGACGCCGGAACTGCCCACCGCTTCCCCTGGGATGTCTAAAAAGCGTCTCTTCTGTGTCATCGCTGAAACAAAAACTCCCCATTTTCTCTTGCAATCCTGCTTCTCCCCAAACGTGCAGAAAGCATGGGCCCCTCCTCATCTCTTCTTCCCTCTCCCCCCACCCATAGGTGCCTGTGTGCACTTCTCCCCCAGCCGCAGCGCTTGCCGCCCTCCCTCTCCAGGCTTTTTGTTCCTCCCACACACCAGGGGCTCCCACCTTGGGGCCTTCGCACCTGCTGTGTGGCTAGCTCCTTTCACCCAGAACCCATTCAGTGCAGCCTCCAGGCCAGCCGGGCCAAGACGCCTCTCTGGGATTCCTGTCTCGTTACCCTGCTTTATTTTCTTCTTAGCACTTAACGATCATCTGACTCTGTTTTGCCTATTTCTGGGGGGGCTCCGAGAGCGTAGCTGGGTCTGCCTTGCTCCTTGCCGGCCCCCAGCCCCAGGCACACCCTGCTTGGCAACGCAGCAGCAGGAAGGTGGACTCTGGGAGTCAGGAGCTCCCCTCCCGCAAACTCCCTGTGTGACCAACCTGCCTGGGCCCCGGGTGGTCTCAGTGTTGCCATCTGTATAAGGGGTGCACGCACAAAAGGGCAAACAGAGGCACCTCCACCTCGGAGTGTTTCTGACAGCCTGGGCAGGAGCCCCGGGCGGGGAGGCCCAGAGGGCTGTGGGGTCGCCAGCCTGCTGTAGGAAAGGCCCAGTCGGCTGTGGCTGGGCTGCTGGGGTAACAGTTAAGAGGCCAAAGGGTTTGTCTCCCCAGAAGGTGTTTTAAACCGAGGTTGGCTCCAGCCTTAGCCTGGGCTGGGCCCAGTTTGGGGTTTGAAATGTAAATAAGAGGCATTAAGTGCTTTTCAGTATTTAAGGGGAGACAAAGGGGAATTCACCAGACGAGGCTGTGGGGAGGTTGCCTTTAAGATGCAAATGTGTATTGTGAAGCCCTGAATGGGGACGTGGTGAGGGCCTCTGGCCCCTCACCCCCAGGGCCGGCGGTGGGGCGGGGGCGGGACCGCCAGGCGGGAGGCTGAGATCAAAGGAGCGGACGAGTAGATGCTGACGCTTAGAGGAGGTGGAACGGGGGACTGAGCTGCCACCGCGTCCTGTCCTGTCCCCGGGGCCCCGGCTGCCCACCACCTCTGCAGACACCCCCAAAGTGCTGCTGTCCTTAACGTGCAGGTTGTCAAGAAGGGACTTAGGTGCTACTCAGTGTGGAAGGAGCCAGACCTCGGCCGGACCCGCCACTGCCTGGCGCTGTGTGTCAGGGTCAGAGTGAGGGAGGCCCCCACTCCGGGGGACTGAGGACCGTGGGTGCCGAGTAAGGACCCCATCCTAGAGACGGGCCTGCAGTGCTGATCAGAGGCGCGGCGTGGAGAGTGGAGCCCGTACCCTGGGATGTGAACAGCGGCTCGGCTCCAGGAGGGGTCCTACCACCTCCCTCTTCCGCTTCTGCCCGAGCTGGGGACCTTCTCCAGGACTTTTACTTTTCTTTCCTTTCATTTCTTTAAGTGCTGGGTAGTTTTTTCTTGGTGAAGTTATTTGTGGTATAAAACCCAACGGGAGTAGAAGGATGTGAAGTGAAAACAGCCTCCGCCCTTGGCCCCAGCTCGCGAGCTGTGCGCGCACAGGGCTGCGTGTCGCTGACTCTGGACACCGGGTCCGCGTCCAGGTCGCCTGTCCTGACGGCTGCAGCGCCAGCCGTCTGGTCGTGTCCTCCTGCGGGGCAGGCGGGGCTGTTACTAAGGTGTTTCCGTGACTGTCCTTTGTTCACGAGCCCAGAACTAGCCGCCAGATTCACTGTTATAAATCGGGTTAAGCCTTGCTGCCCCGCGGCCGTGCAGCCCTCCGAGCGCCCCTCCTCCCTGCACCCGCGTCCCCGATGAACGCCCATCCCGGCTTCTGTGACTCCGCCCAGCCTGGCCTGTGTGTGTCCCCACCTCCCGCCCCATTTCAGGCACCGCCATCCCCCCGCCCCCGTGACCTGGCCGCCTCCTCAGGGCTTCCCGACCCCCCATCTCTTCTGGGCCGCGGCCACCAGCCTTTGGGGGTGTGAAGGGACGTGGCATCCTGCCCCCCTCACAGCCTGGCTTTGCCGTCCCCACCTTCCCCTGCCCTTCCTTTCGGCCTCTGCCCAGCCCAGCCTCCCCAGGGGCCTCCCCTGCGGGGGTCTCTGCCTGGCTGGGCCAGGTCTGGGGGGAGCAGTGGAGTTGGATGGCGTTTGGGCCCTTGTTTCAAGGACAGGGGAGCCGGCGACTCTCCTGGCCCAGGAGACGCGGGCTCCCGGCCCCCCGTCTGCAGGGCAGGGGTCTCCTGGGACCCAGGCTGCCCGCTCCAGTGCCCCCGGGGAGGGAGCCGGCCCAGTGGGCGAGGCCAGACTTGTCTTCCAGCCTGGGGCTGTGGTAGAGCTTGACATCTCTTCTCCAGAAGGCCCGGGGTTTGAGGCCCGAGGAGCCCGGGCGGGTTTGCGATGGAGAGACCATTTGGGGAGGGGCCCCGGCGACCAGGACAAAACGCTACAAAGAGAGAAACCATCTTCCAGCGTCGCCCTGCGGGGCAGAGGCGCCGACAAGGGAATCTCGGCTTTATCTCCTTTCTTACAAGCAGCCTCAGCTGTGGAGACGCTCCCGTGGGGGCCAGGGCGGGGAGGGGGGGACCCGCAAAGCCCTACAGGGGGCGAGAGCAGCCTGGGCCCAGGTGCTGGGCATCCACCCATCCCATGCGGCCGGGGCTGCGTTTCTGCCTGCGGTGGAAAACCGGGACCCAGGAGAGACTGGGTAAGGTCCCCGGTGACCCCTGGCCAGGAAGAGATGGCAGAGCATTTGCTGTTTACCTCATTTCAAGGCGGCCCCCCCACCCCACTTTCTGGCACTTGGTCTCACACCACCTCTCGCTTTCTCGTGCCTGCCACCCCCAGGAGACCAGGGACCCGATCAACCCGTGCTGCATGAGGCCTGGCACGTAGTAGGTCCTCAATAAATATTCGTTGAATGAATGAGATGGGAGTCAAACTCTGGCGGGCTTCCTGTCCCAGTGCGAGTCTGCGCGGTCCCAGGGCCGAGCCGAGAGCCCGCGGGGCCCGCGAGGCTCGCAGACGCTCATGTCAGTGTGACTGGTGATCCCGACATTCTCTCCTGGTCAAGAACAACTCACACAGCTGCCCTGAGAGGCTGGGACTCCACTGCCTAACTGCCGTTGTCCGGGGGGGCTGCCACCCCCCAGCCCGGGCCCCCGCCCTCCCCGCTCAGGACCCTCCAGGGCTCCCCGACCGTCCTGCAGCACTCGGGCCTGCTGACCTCTTCAGACCTTATGTCCTGGCGCCCCTGCCCTCCCCGCGGCCTCCCTCCCAGAGCCCACTTCCCACCCCTGGTTTGACTTCCATCGGCTCCTTCAGTCCTGTCATCCTCGTTCCTTTTCTCATAAGTTTTCTGTAGCTAAAGTATCTTTTGTTTTAGCATCTATCCCCCACCCCCAAGAGCTTGTCTGTCTTGTGTAGCATTGAATGATGAGAATCTAGAAAGGAATCTAACTTCAAACTCAGGAGTTAGGTCCGTCAGGACTCAGAATTATATTTGTGAAAGGGGGAAACAAAAGCCACCAAACCAACACCTAGTCTAGAGCTCGACATAAACGGCTCTCCAAAAATGAGTTCCCTTACTTTATTTCCCTCTAATCAGATATTAATTCCTGAACGCTTTGGGACCGTCGATGGATCCAGTGGGAAGGACCCTTCGACCCTGTCTTGTGTCCTGTCTGCCCTGTCCCCACCTTACATGCAGAAGCTGAGGTCCAGAGAAGACGCAGGGCTCACACGGTGCCACTGGATTGCGCTCCGAGTCTGATTCCTAGTGCAGGGCTCTTGCCCTTCCTGACACTTCATCTGTCCAGTTAGCCAGGGCCGGGGGAGGGGCAGCAAGGCCAAGGCTAGGTCCCAGGATGAGGACAGGTGTTCGCCAAGCTCCAGCCTGGTTTGGGCGCAGAAGTCTTTCCATCCGGGCCAGGCCCCGGAGCCAGGGAACGGCGGAAGGGCAGCCGGAGGAGGCCCAAGCAGTCTTGAGGCATCTAAGCTCACTCTGGACCTGCCTGTTAGGCGCCATCTGCCCCAGAAGACTGAGAAAGCCTCAGAGTGGATCTCCCTGTTGCCACATCTTCACAGAGGCCAAGGTTTTCTCAAAGCCCCCATTGGACCCCATCAGATACTGCCCACCCCTCAAACACGCGGGCGGCTTTCCATCACACTTAAGATAAAATACAGACATCTCTCCACGGCCTTATGCGGCTTGCCTTCCTGTCCCTGTCCTGGACAGCCAGCCCACCCCACGCGGTGTCTTTGTGCTGCTGTTCCCTCCTCCTTGGACTCTCAGGCCCTATTCCTTCTTGCCAGTCAGGTGAATAACACCTCAGGGAAGCCTTCCCTAAACACCCAGTCTGAAGTAGGGCCACCCACCCCCATCTTTCCCCATCACTTTGACAAGTTTTTCTTTAAAGTGCTTATCACTACTTGAGCTTTTGCATTTATAGCCTAGTCTCTCCTCCCCACCTGGAGTCAGCTTGTCTGGTGTGTGGGTCACCGAATTCTCTGTACTTAGCATACAGTAGATGCTCAATAAACATTTGTTTGAATAAGTGACAGAGAAAGGGCCCCCACAGGGAGTACAGAGATTCGGCCCGTTTTTTCTGCCCAAGGTATTAAACTGCGCGCCTGGAGAGCCTGGGGGTTAGGTCCAAGACAGCACCTTCCCCTGCCCTCCCCCAGACCCTAGGCCTTCGAGAAGTGAGCAGTTGGCTCCAGTGGAGGAACTAGCATTTCAAACGGGAGAGAGGTTGGGGCCTTGGGGCAGCTTTCTGTGTGGGGAGCGGGGACAGTTCTCGGGAAGGACAGCCTTCACCCTTAGGGTGAGTAACGACCACGGCCGGGGTCAATCGCTGTGGAGGGGACTGAGCGGAAAGGGTCCCCCGGATGATCGGGAAGGATGCTTGTCTTTGCGTCAGGGGGAGCGGGAGCCGGCGCCCAGCTTCTGCGTTTTCGGCTGCCCAAGTCCCCCTCCGGGCTTAAGGGGCGCGCCGCGTGGTCTCACCCGCGTCCCCGGCCCTTCCGCGCTCGCCTCCCTCCCGCCCCGCCCGTGCGGCTGGACTGCCCGGCGGGTAACTGCGCTCGGCCGGCGGGCGTTGGGCGCGCGCCCCGCCCCGTCTCCATGGAGACCGCTTGCCAGCCTCCCAACAGCCCACCGGCTGCGCGGCTCCGGGGACCAGACGCGCGGATCCTCAAGCCCGGAGACGCATGTCAACACGGGGACCCCCAGACCCCCTTCTCGACAGGCCCAGGAAGTGGCGGGGGGGGGTGTCTCTCGTTTAACAAAGGGTCGATGCTGGGGCAGGTTTGGGAAAAGGAATTGACCCAAAGCCTGGAGAGCTTGGACCCCTGGGTACTGTTGCTGGTCCAGGACCTGCACTGGAGCTTTCCTGCCACAGGTCCTCCTGAGGCCTTGCTAAGGTTTCCCTGGGGTGGCACCGAGGCCAGACCCCAGGACTTCGTCCCCTGGGCACAGATCCCTCTGGTCACTCCCCACGGGGCTGCACTGGACGAGGCTCTGAGATGAGGTTCTGTGAAGGATGCTGCAAGACTCCCCCTGACGCCGCCGGGCAGCCACCAGGGAAGGTGTCCCGCTGTGGGGACTGCTTGCCCCCATAGATCCCAGACAGGCTATGGCAGAAGCTCTGCAAAGCTGACCTTGGTCTTTGACCTCTGCCTGGTAGGCTCAGAGAACAGCCTAGGCCACATCTACGCCCGCCAAGGAGACCAACTGATGGTTTCCTCCCAAGGCCTGCACCCTGCACAGATTTTTAGATGTCCACAGCCCCAGTAGAGGACTGGCTAACCTGAAAGCTGACTTCTCCCGGGATATGGCCAAGTGACCGCTGGTGCACACCTGACCTGCCACTGCACCAACCGCTAGAGCTGGCTTCCAGAGTGACCTTTTAACTGGTCCTCACTGGCCACTCCCGATGCTGCCTTCAAGGCCTGTACAGTCGGCACCTGCTGGCCTTTGTATGTCAGGAATCCACGCCACCAGCCCCTGTGGTGACACCGGACACTGGGGACCAGAGCTTCGCAGATTTGCCTGATGGTAAACCACCAGAGATCTGTCCTTGTGTGGAACCACTACACTGCACAGCTCTGTGCCTTTCTTCTCCACCTGTCTGGGATGCTTTTCTATTCCAATTTTGTCCCAGGAAACAAACAAAAGTCCAAACCAAAACAGAAGACAAAAGCATTAATTTTATCTGTCCCGGGCTTCACAGACTTACAGGCCTACCTGGCCAGGTAGAAAATATCAATGAATGAGATGGTTTGCGAGGGACTGGTGACCTGAGGGGCACGGTGCGCCCATAAGGGGGCAATGAGCCCAGCCCCCGCTGCTATGCCAGGTAGAAGGCAGGCCCCGGGCTGCAGAATACTCTGAAGACAAGTGGCAAAACGATATTTTTTAGTCTATGATCTCTTCTTCTCTCAACATTATTCAAAATTCAGATTAAAAGACTTCCCTGGTGGCACAGTGGTTAAGAATCTGCCAGCCAGTGCAGGGGACACGGGTTCGAGCCCTGGCCCAGGAAGATCCCACATGCCGTGGAACAGCTGAGCCCGTGCGCCACCACTATTGAGCCAGTGCTCTAGAGCCCGCGAGCCACTACTACTGAGCCCACGTGCTGCAACTACTGAAGCCCACACGCCTAGAGCCCGTGCTCTGCCATGAGAGAAGCCACCGCAATGAGAAGCCCGCGCACCACAACGAAGAGTAGCCCCTGCTTGCCGCAACTCCGAGAAAGCCCATGCGCAGCAACGAAGACCCAACACAGCCAAAAATAAATAAATAAATAAAATTTAAAAAAAATTTAGATTAAAGAAAAAATTGTAAGAAGTAAGGCAAGGCACGTCTGCAGCTCAGGGTTGGCCTGCCTGGCTTGCTAGCCTGGACTTCAGCGCAGATTCAGCCCTGTCTGCCCGTGATCTTATGAAAACTCCACTTAAGCCTGCTGTGTGCAGACCCCCTGGACACTGTTCTTTGCATGTGCCTGAGCCCCAGAGATCCCTCCGTGTTACTGGCCGGCTGGGGGCTCCTCAGGGTGGCACCCTGCCTGGCCCAGCTCCCTCACCTGCTTCTCCCTGAGGAGCAAGGGCTGCCCAAAGATTCTTTACCAAACTGATCCTGCAACCAGTCTAGAAGGAGATGGAGAGGGAGGTGGGGGTCTCTGGGCCTCTCAGCACCAGGTGCCAGGCCAGCCGCAGGGTGCACTCTTCCCGCTTTGAGTTTGGCCCCAGACTTGTGAGACGACTTTCTCAAAAGCCCCTCCCACCCCCTGGACCTAGAGGTCAGCGTGGAAAGAGCAGCACAGCAGCTTGGCTTCCAAGGCAGCTTCTAGCAGCATCCACGCAGTACTGAGATTCCCAAACTGAGCCCTGAAAATCTGCACCTCGTTCCTGGCCCCTTTCCGGATGGTTTATGTGCTGACCAGCGACGTGCACTTGTGCATAAGCCAGCGCCCTGCTCTGGGGCCCCAGCGGGCAGCTCAGGGGCCCTGTTGCTCCGGGGAGCCCTGGGCGCCTCCAGGTCCAGGTGTGACTTCCCAGGGGGACGGTTCCTGCGCACAGTGAGGGGCGTGTGACGGTAGTTCCTCGGGCTTCAGGCCTTGACTGAGAAGGGAAGGGGGTTTCTCTCTTCCCCTTTCCAGAAACGTACAAAACAGAAGCAGAAACCAACTGCTGTGCCCTCTAATACTTGTCTGCTGCCAACCTGTCATCTTGCAGGACCACGGACACTGGAACACGATGACCACGGTGACGCCGGCTCCTTTCCTAGTTCCCTAAGGAGCCTTGGGCCACGGCCTCTGCTGACTGGTCACAATCCAGAAGAGTGGTTCTCAACCTGGCTGCACACTCAGATCACCTCGTGAGCTCTAAAAACTCCCAGCGCCTTCTCCCAGGACAGTGAAATCCACAGTGCCAAAGGTAGAGCCCAGGCATGAGGATTTTTTTCTTCCAGTGTTATTGGGATATAATTGACGGGTACTAGGATTTCGGGGGGGGGGGATGGGGGCATTACCAGAGAAAGAATGCCTGCCTCGGGGCAGTGGAAACGCTGCCCTGCCCCCAGCGGGAGGAGGTGAGCCCTGGGGCTCCCTGTGGTCCAGGGGCAGGCTTCCCAACTTCCGGGATGCCAGGTGGGTGAGAGCCACTCCAAGGGGGGGGGGGTGGGCGGCAATCTGAGTCTGGGGCCTTTCTCGGGGGAGGGAGGGGTGCCTGACGGGGTGTTCTTTGGCCCCCTCCGCTTCCACCTCCTTCAGGTAGTGGGGCTGGCAGGCCTTGCCCACTGGCTCTTTTAGGGCTTGATGGCCAAAGAAATTAGCCCCACACCACTGCGGCCTCCCACACCTTGGAAGAAGCTCGTGTTCTCTATATACACGGGGGAGTGGCAGCAGAAGTCGAGCTGGCCGAGCTGTCTCGTGTGCGGTGTGGCTTTGCCCACGCACGGGCGCTCCTGCTGAAAGGGCACCCCGCGCAGGGACATCACAGAGGATGGAGGATGTTTGCGGGCAGAGGCAGGGGCCCCTGGGGTTCTGTGAGGCTGAGCCCTCTTTTCAGGTTTCGTGAGCTGCAGACACTGCCTTTGACTTCTTTAGCTCGGCAGTTTCCTTTTTCCCCCTTTTTTAAAAACAAAAATGAAATGCACGTAACAAACTTTTTACCATTTTAACCGTTTTTAAGTGTACAGTTCAGCGTCATGACATCTATTCACAATGTTGTGAACCATCACCACTGTTCATTTCCAGAACTCTTCCGTCATTGCTAACAGAAGCTCTGTACCAACTAAAGAGTAACTCTCCGTTCCCCTACTGCCCACAACATCTATTCTATTTTCGGTTGATAGGATTTTTCCTATTCTAGCGCCTTCATCTAAGTGAAGTCATACAATATTTATTTTTCTATGTCAGGCTTATTTTACTTAGCAGAATGGCTTCAAGGTTCATCCATGTTGCAGCATTATTCAGAATTCGTTCCGTTTTGTGGCTGAATGGTACTCCGTTATATAAACCACATTTTGTTTGCCCATCATCTGTTGATGGACGCTTGGGTTGTTTCCACCTTATAGCTATTGCAAATAATGCTGCTGTGAACTTGCTATACGACCATCTCTCTGAGTCCCAGCTTTCAATTCTTTTGGGTAAATACATAGGAGTGGAATTGCTGGCTCATATGGTAACGCTATGTTTAAATTTTTGAGGAATGACCAAACTATTTTCCACACAGGCACACCATTTTACATTATTTCCATGTGCACAAAGGTTCCAATTTCTCCACATCCTTGGTAACACTCATTTTCTGTTTTTTTGGGTTTGTTTGTTTCTTTTGTTTTGGTTGCGTTGGGTCTTCGTTGCTGCGCGCGGGCTTTCTCTAGTTGTGGCGAGTGGGGGCTACTCTTGGTTGCGGTGCGCGGGCTTCTCATTGCGGAGGCTTCTCTTGTTGCAGAGCACGAGCTCTAGGTGCGCGGGCTTCAGTTGTTGTGGCTCGCGGGCTCTAGAGCACAGGCTCAGTAGTTGTGGCGCACGGGCTTAGTTGCTCCAGGGCATGTGGGATCTTCCTGGACCAGGACTTGAACCCGTGTCCCCTGCATTGGCAGGCGGATTCTTAACCACTGCACCACCAGGGAAGTCCCTTTGTTTTGTTTTGAATAATAGGCATACTACTGGGTGTAAGGTGGCTTTGATTTGCATTTCCCAAATGCCTACTGACATTGAGCATCTTTTCATGTTCTTATTGGCCACCTGTGTATCTTCTTTGGACAGATATCCAAGTCTTTTGACCATTTTTATTTATTTATTTTTGCGGTACCGCTGTGGCCTGTCGCATTGCGGAGCATAGGCTCCAGACGCGCAGGCTCAGTGGCCATGGCTCATGGGCCCAACCGCTCCGCGGCGTGTGGGATCTTCCCCGGACCGGGGCACGAACCCGCGTCCCCTGCATCGGCAGGCGGACTCTCAACCGCTGCACCACCAGGGAAGCCCTATTTTACTAATTTTGATGCTATCGTAAATGGAATTATTTTCTTAATTTTTTGGGTTGTTTATCGTTAGCATACAGAAATGCAGCTGATTTTTGCGTGTTGATTTTTGTATTCTGCGATGTTGCTGCAGTAGTTTATCATCTCTAGTTATATTGTGGACTCTTCAGGGTTTTCTACATATAAGACTGTGCCATCTGTGAACAAAGATACTTTTACATCTTCCCTTCCGATTTGGAGGCCTTTTATTTCTGTTTTGCCCTAAGTGTCCTAGATAGACCTGCCGGTGCTCTGCGGAACGTGGTGATGGAAGGGGGCACCCTTGTCTTGTTCCTGACCTTAGGGAAAAGGCTTTCAGTCTTTAACCGCGGAGTATGACGTTGACTGTGGGGTTTTCATATGTGGGTTTTATGATGTTGAGGCAGTTTCCTTCTATTGCTAGTTTACTCAGTGTTTGTTTCACAAAAAGGGGTTGAAGTTTTAAACACTGAGATATAACTGACACCTAGCATGACATTGGTTTCAGGTGTACCGCTATCTGTATATACTGTGAAATGATCACCACAGGAAGTGTAGTCAAATCCGTCACCATACATCGTTACAAAGTTTCTTTTTCTTCTGATGAGAACTTGGAAGGTCTAGGCTCTTAGTGGAACTGCAGGGACTGCTTAGTTAAATCCATTTCACCTGTAACCTGCCTTGACTCATCAAGGGGGTTTTAATTGTTGCTACAAAAAGACCTGCGTGTCCTCCACGCAGCCTAACAGTGTCCGGAAGCCCAGAGTCAGCTGCACCCGGTTAGAGCTGAGCCGGTTGAAACCGGTTAGGACCACCGGCCCTCCAACTGGGCCTGCGCAGCTGTCCCCGGGGCGGCCTTTTGAACCCGCAGAGGCCGGGGGTGTAGTTCCACCGGCTCACACCCTTCTTCCATCACTTTGCTCCACGCCCCCCACGCGAAGACCCCGCCCTGCTTCCTTATTCCTTATCCCGAAACCACCCGGGCCCCTTGCCTGCCGGGGCGTCTGTTCTCCTGTCTCCTCGCTCGGCTTGCCGACCTCGGTATCTCAGCTTGTGGCTTGCCGCGCGTCAGGTAAGCTTGTTTCAGCAACTCTGAAATATGCAGTCGAGTATGATTAACCCTGGTCGCCATCCAGGACGTTACATTCCCAGGACCAACGTTGGAACCGGAAGCCTGGCCCTCTTGACCCATTTCACCCCCCACCCCCACCGCCCACCGCCCACCCCCCACCCCCGCCAGCTCTGGCAACCTCCAGTCTGTTCTCTGTGTCCGTGGGTTTGGCTTATTTATTTATTTTTTGATTCCACATATCAAGGAGATCATACGTATTTGTCTTTCTCTTACTTCGCTTAGCCTGATGCCCTGAAGTCCATCCACGATGACATAAATGTCAGGATTTCCTTCGTTTCTTATGGCTAAGAGTCCATTGCATCCGTGTACCACATCTTCTTTATCCGTTTATCTGTTGATGGACACTCAGGTTGTTTCCATGTCTTGACTGTTGTGAATAGTGCTGCGGTGAACGTGAGGGTGCAGCTGTCTTTCGAGTTGTGTTTTCACTTCCTTCAGATAAATACTGAGCAGTGGAATTGCTGGATGGATTGATAGTTCTATTTTTTAAATTTACTGATTTGTTTGTTTTACTTTTTCACAAACCCCTGTGTCGAGGGCCGACCCAGAAGCAGCTCGTCTACAGACGGTTCAGCTCCAGGTTCCCCACAAACGTGCGGTGCATGATTCTGTTTTTAATTTTTGAGGAACCTGCATACTCTCTTCCACTCCCACCAACAGTGCACAAGGGCTCCCTTTTCTCTACATCATCAGCAACACTTGTTATTTCTTGTCTTTGATAAACAGCCATTCAGACACGTGTGAGGTGGTATCTCATCGTGGTCTTGCCTCGTTTCCCCGACGTAGTGACGTTGAGCATCTTTTCATGTACCCGATGGCCATCTGTGTGTGTCCTCTGGAAAAATGTCTTTTCAGATCCTTTGCCTGTTTTTATTTTTTGCGGTACGCGGGCCTCTCACTGTTGTGGCCTCTCCCGTTGCGGAGCACAGGCTCCGGACGCGCAGGCTCAGCGGCCATGGCTCACGGGCCCAGCCGCGCCGCGGCATGTGGGATCTTCCCGGACCGGGGCACGAACCCGTGTCCCCTGCATCGGCAGGCGGGCTCTCAACCACTGCGCTACCAGGGAAGCCCCTTTGACCATTTTTAAATTGGATTGTTTGTTCTTTTGCTTTTGAATTGTATGAGTTTTTAAATATATTTTGGTTATTAAGCGTTTATCAGCTGTATAATTTGCAAATATTTTATCCCATTCAGCAGGCTGTCTTTTCATTGTGTTCATGGCTTCCTTTGCAGAAACTTTCTAGTTGAATTTTTTCAAATGCTTTTTCTGCATCAGTGGAGATCATGCTTTTTTGTCTTCATCCTGTAAATGTCGTGTATCGATTGACTTGAGTATGTTGAATCATCCTTGAATTCTAGGCATAAATTCCACTTGGACATAGTGTATAATCCTTTTTATACGCTTTAGCAGTTTCCGTTTTTACAGCGAGAATAGCCAGAGAATCAGTGACCTGACAGGATTCTCATGATCCCCAGGGTAACCTGAGTTGATCTCAGAGTTGGAGGATCCTATCCCAGCGCCAGAAATGGGGGATGGCAGGCAGTTTCCCTGTCCTTCCACAACCCCTGGACAAGACAGCCCCCAAACAGTCCTTTCCAGGCGTGGAGGGCTGACTGGAGAGAGAACCAGGGTCCTTTTTTTTTTTTTTTTTTTTTTTTTTTGATGTGGACCATTTTTTAAAAGTCTTTATTGAATCTGGTACAAGACTGCTTCTGTTTCATGTTTTGGTTTTGTGGCTGTGTGGCATGTGGGATCTTAGCTCCCCCACCAGGGATCGAACCCGCACCCCCTCCCTGCTTTGGAAGAGGAAGTCTTAACCACTGGACTGCCAGGGAAGGCCCCAGCGTGCTTCTCTGAACTAACAGCCATGCTGGCTTCTCCAAGTAGAAGCAACAGATACACGTGCAGACCCCAGTTCAGCCAGTTGGCTTTCCTCCTCTAAAGCGAGGGGTTTATTACAGCCCTTACCCTTCCTCCCCTCTGGCCTAAAGTAGGGACTCAAGGTTCACCCATGAGCTAGACTAGACCCTAAGTGGTAACGTACTTCCAGCGCTGGCTCCTTTCCTTGGAGCTCCGGCAAAATGGCGAGTGCCCAGCGACACGGGCAGTTCTAGCCCTGCAGTGCCAACTGAGGCAGGACTCCCGCCAGCGAGCTCGCTTCTCCCCAGACGTCAGGAAACTCGGGAGACTGAGCCCGCCTGGTGGAGCAGCGCCTCCATTGCCTCGTTCCGCCACACACCAGGGCTCCGGCAGCACCAGATGGCAGTCACACGCTTCTTGGCCAGCAGGTGCAACTGACACACACAGGGAGAAGGCAAGTGTGCAACGCGGTGGGTCCTCCAGGGCATGAGGGATCTTCCCAGACCAGGGCTCGAACCCATGTCCCCTGCATTGGCAGGCGGATTCTTAACCACTGAGCCACCAGTGAAGTCCCATCAGAGAATGTTTTGTGTATGATCTCTTGTAGCAGTTTTATGGTGTCATGTCTTAAGTCTTTCAGCCCTGTTGAGTTTATTTTTGTGTGTGGTGTGAGGGAGTGGTCTAACTTAATTGCTTTACATGCAGCTGTCCAACTTTCCCAACACCACTTGCTTTAGAGAAGAGACTGTCGTTTTTCCATTGTATATTCTTGTCTCCTTTGTCAGAGATTAATTTAGCATAGGTGTGTGGGTTTATTTCTGGCCTCTCTTTTCTGTTCCATTGATCCGTATGTCTGTTTTTGTACCCATAAAACACTTTTTTTTTTTTTTTTGTGGTACGCGGGCCTCTCACTGTTGTGGCCTCTCCCGTTGTGGAGCACAGGCTCCGGACGCGCAGGCTCAGCAGCCATGGCTCACAGGCCCAGCCGCTCCGCGGCATGTGAGATCTTCCCCGACCGGGGCACGAACCCGTGTCCCCTGCATCGGCAGGTGGACTCTCAAACCACTGCGCCACCAGGGAAGCTCCACAACACTGTTTTGATTACTGTAGCTCTGTAGTATTGTTTGAAGTATAGGAGAGTTATGCCTCCTGCTTTGTTTTTTCCCTCAGGATTGGTTTGGCAATTCCGGGTCTTTTATGGTTTCATATAAAGTTTTGGATTATTTATTCTATTTCTGTGAAAAATATCTTGGGAATTTTGAGAGGGATGGCATTAAATCTGTAGATTACTTTCGGTAGTATCGCCATCTTAGCAATATTCTTCCAATCTAAGAGCATGGGATATCTTTCCATTTCTTTGTATCCTTTTTAATTTCCTTTATTAATGTTTCGTAGTTCTCAGGGTGTAAGTCTTTCACCTCCTTGGTCAGGTTTATTCCTAGGATTTTGTGGGGGGGTTTGGTTCTGTTTTAGAAGTTGTTTTTTCCATTCCCTTTCTGGTATTTCATTGTTAGTGTAAAGAAATGCAACCGATTTTTTGGTCTTGTTTTGTTTGGCCTCACCTCGTGGCATGCATAACTTCCCCAATCAGGGATGGAACCCATGGCCCCTGCAGTCGAAGGGTTGAGTCTGAACCACTGGACCACCAGTAAAGTCCCTGCAGCTGATTTTTGAATGTTAATCTTGTATCCTGCTACTTTGCTGAATTCATTTACTAGATCTGGTAATTTTTGTGTGGAGTCTTCAGGGTTTTCTATATATAATATCATAGCATCTGTATATGATGAGCTGTACCTCTTCCTTTCCAGTTTGCATAACCTTTCTTTTCCTTGTCTGAGTGCTGTGGCTAGGACTTCCAATACTATGTTGAATTGAAGTGGTGAGAGTGAGCATCCTTGTCTTGTTTCAGATTTTAGCGGGAAGGCTTTCAGGTTTTCACCATTATTATATTGGCTGTGGGTTTGTCATAAATGGCTTTTACTATGTTGAGATGTGTTCCCTCTATTCTAATTTGGTAAGAGGTTTTATCATGAATGGATGCTGAATTTTGTTTCTGCTTTTTCTGCATCTATTGGGATGATCATTTGGATTTTGAGTTTTCTTTTGTTAATGTGGTATGTATCACATTGACTTTGCAAATGTTGAGCACCATCCTTGTGAACTTGGGTTAAATCCCACTTGGATTCAGACTTGGGATTGTGGCGTATGATCTTTTTTATGTGCTATTGGATTCGGCTTGCTAGTATTTTGTTTGGAATTTTTGCACCTATATTCAAAGATACTGGCCCGTAATGTTCTTTTTCATGGCTGAGTAGTATTCCAGGGTATCTGTACCACGTCTTCTTTATCCGTTCCTCTGTCGATGGATGTTTAGGTTGTTTCCATGTCTTGGCTGTTGTGAACATAGGGGTGCGTGTGTCCTTTTGAATTAAGAGTTTCCTCTGGACATACACCCATGAGTGGGATTGCCAGCTCATATGGTAGTTCGATTTTTAGTTTTCTGAAGAACCTCCATACTGTTCTTCATAGTGGCTGCACCAACTTACATTCCCACGAACAGTGCAGGAGGGTCCCCTTTTCTCTGCACCCTCTCCAGCATTTGTGACCTGTAGACTTTTTGTGTGTGTGTGTGTGTGTGTGTTTTTTGCGGTACGCGGGCCTCTCACTATTGTGGCCTCTCCCGTTGCGGAGCACAGGCTCCGGACGCGCAGGCTCAGCGGCCATGGCTCACGGGCCCAGCCGCTCCGCGGCATGCGGGATCCTCACGGACCGGGCCATGAACTCGTGTCCCCCGCATTGGCAGGCGGACTCTCAACCACTGCGCCACCAGGGAGGGAAGCCCTAGACTTTTTGTTTTTAAAGAACAGCTCTCATTTTTTTTTTGCCCCCACACATGCAGGATCTTAGTTCCCCGACCAGGGATTGAACCCCTGTTCCCCTTGCAGTTGAAGCATGGCGTCCTAATCACTGGACCACCAGGGAATTCCTGTGGACTGCTTAATGATGGCCATTCTGACTGGTACGAGTAGTTTTGATTTGCATTTCTCTAATAATTAGTGATACTGAGCATCTTTTCGTGTGCTTGTAGGCCATCCGTATGTCTTCTTTGGAGAAATGTCTATTAAGGTCTTCTGCCCATTTTTCTACTGGGTTGTGTTGTTGTTGTTGTACAGGGCCACTTTCAGATGTGAGGTCAAGCTCTTATGTGAAATTCAAGGAGGCTTGAGGCCAGGTGATTTTCAGGGCACAGGCTCAAGGTGAAGTTCAAGATCAAGCTGAAAAGAGCGGGGCACAGAGCACTGGATCAAGCTCAGGTTCCATGTTAATTTGAAAGCTTACCCAAGGTTGCTTCAAGGGGGTTATGGTCAGGAGCATCCCGGTATGAAGGACAAGATTGGAGTTGAGAAGTTCAAGGTTTAAAGTCAGTTTCTCTGTGAGACATTTGCAGCATGATCTGGACCAGGGGTGAGGGTCAATTTCAAGGTCAACTTGAAGATGATCCAATTCAAGGACCAGTTCAGCGCTGACTTTGGTTAACGTGCAGCATCAGGAGGGTCATTCCAAGGTTGTAACATAAGTGTGACACAGGGTCAAGTTCAGGACAAGGTAAAAATCAGGGCAATTCACAAGGAACACATATCCATAGGGTGAGAGACTGCATCAGGGTCAGGCTCAGGGTCAGTTTCAAGGTAAACATCTGGTTTGAGGTGAAGTAGGAAGTCAACCTAAAATTAGGACATCATGTGGTCAGGTCATTTGGAAGGCAAAGAGGTGCCAACATCAATGTGAGGTCCAGGAAGATCTTTAGGGTCGTGACAAGGCAAGAGGTTCAACCTGAGTGTATCTGGGTCAGGATTCATGAAACAAGGTGAATATACTTAGCAGTATACTTTCACCTCAACAGCAAGCTCTGGCCGAGAGCTTGAGCCAGTTAGGGTGAGTGTAATTAATGGTAACGGGGAGAATCCGTGTTAGTATAAGCAGCTTAGTCTCAACCACTGCAGGTCAGTGTAAACCGTGAGGGACCTACGTTCAGCTCTAACTAGTGCTACTAGGTATGTACGGACAAGCTCAGCCTCAGGCATTCTTCTCAAGGATAAAACCTTACTGCTGGTTAGTGTTAACTAACATGAACGGAAGCAATGCAACACACCTTCATCTAAAGGCACTTTCTTACTGAGAGGTAGGAGGAATTAGGACCAATCTGAATAGAGGTTTTGATAAGAACTCCCATCAGTGCAACAACGTCAGTCCCAGACTCCTTACAGCTCGTCGGAGTGAGCTGGACGCAAGCGCAGCCATGCACATTCACAGGGCGACTGGGTTTGCATCAAGCTGAGGAGTACTACTGAGATGAATTTGTATCCGTGCGACAAATCATTCCCATTCTTCTCAAAAGTAACTTCCTCTTGTTAGAACGAACTGACATGAATGTAAACACAGCAGCACACATTCGTCTCAATTCACATTCTTACCGGGAGGCACAGCCAATTCAAACGAACTTAACTGTGTTACTGAAAAGAATCTGCATTAGTGCAAACACTCCAAATCCCATGCTCCTCAGAAGCAAATCTTACTGCTTGCTGGAGCAAACCTGTTTCCCTCAAAAGCACGTGCTGATGCTGTTTGTTACTAGCAATATGGGAAAAGATGCTCTATTAGTGCAGAGTTCCATCTCAGCCTTACTTCCTACTGTGGAGAAACCAAATCTAGATAAGTGTAGCTGTACGTACAGAGTTTAGGTAGATAAGGTGAGATCAAGGTCAGCCAGCCATTGACGGGACACGGTGTGGATTAGTCTCAGGCTGGAGAGTAAGGCTGTCATGGGAGGTAGGGTTCAGTGTTAACTTCAAAGTTGGAATATGACAGGGTCAGGAGGAGGGTCAGATTCAAGGTCATTTCAAGGGGGACCATGTTGTTTAGCATGATTGTCAGTGACAAGACGAAGCTGAGCACAGAGTCAAGGTCGGTTAAAAGTCAAATTTCAAATCAGCTAGCTACGGCTGGGATCAGGGCCACAAGGTTATGTTCGGGCTCATTTCAAAAATCAAGCAGGTCAGTGTAAGGATGGTCACCAGTTTTAGGGCATGGCTGAGGTCAGAGGTCAAAGTCCATTTCCACGTCACGTTCAGGGTTAGGGCAAGAGGGACCCGCTCTGAGAACAGCAGCCTGGTCCACACAGCACGGCCCAGCACGAGGCCGCCAGCTGGGAAGGACTCCGCTCCTCTTGAGGCCAAACAGCATACCCACCAAGCCCAGCCCAGGGTGCGGGGCCGCAGCAGGGGTAAGCCCCACTGGCCACGGCGGCACTGTGGCTGTGAGCTCCCGAGGACACTACTTTAACACGTGAAGTCCGGGCCAAGAGCAGCGGGGGAAAGACACGACTGAGGGGCTTGAGAAGTGGACCCAAGTAGAATCCAAAGGCTACGTCTGCAAAACCTACACTGTCCTGCTGCGGGAAACACGACTAGGTCGTACAGTTGGCTCTGGGTGGCATCTACTCAGTCCCGGCTGTTGCTTATCTGTGTTGGAATATGGGGCTGGTGCTGCCAGATCTTCCTGTCCTGTGAAAAATCAGAAATCCAGAACTATGTGATGGTCGACCATCACAGCATTAGCAACCACACCAGTTAAAAAACAAGACAGCACAAAGGCCGAGTGACACTCACAGGCTGTGCGGGGTGTCCCATGGGTCCCAGCAGCTCGTGGTTGCTCCTCTAAAGGGACAATGCTCTCTCCATGCAGGGTCCCCCCCCCCCAATACTGTGATTAAAAATGCAAAAGACAAAAGCCAGGGGCAGGTATGCAGGGCTGGAGACGAGAAGGCCTTTCTGCCTCAGAGTCCTGCGGGCCCAGAAAAAGCAATGGCAGTGATTAGCTAACAGGGTCTCTCCTGAGCCCGAGTCTGGAAGAGGGAAAAAAGACAGGGCGAAGACAGATGGTCTTTGTTCTTGTTACATTTTATTGGCATCACGTTCATCTCTTTACAGAAGAACTTGGCCCACACCCTAGAATGCAGGCCTCTGGAGAGAGGGAGGTGCTCTGAGAAGCAAGCTACAATGCGGGGCAGGTCCTGGGGCACAGCTGCCTGGCTCCACACCCAGGACACGGGGAAGGCATGGCGGGTTGTACTGGGAAGAAGGAGAGAAGGTCTGCTCACCTAAGGATGCCACAGCCCCGAAAGGAGCACCTTCCAGAACAAAGGTAAAGTCCCTAGGACAGGTCTGGTAGGATTTTCCTTTTCCTTTCTCTCTTGTACGTGGATGCTGATCTAATAAGGGAGTTTCAAAGTGTGGAGCAGAGAAAAAAAAGAAAAATGAGAGTTTTATATTTCTGAAACAGCCGTTTCTCCATTGCACACACCATGGTATTATGCAAATCAACCTCTTGGAAAAATTTAGATACAGAAGGGAACTAGACAGTTTTCCCCCTGGAGAGATGAAAAGCTTTTTGGCTCCTAAGTCTTTGATTAAAAGGCGTACATGATTCTCGTGTCTACTGTACAGAATACTGCCTCCAGCTGGATTTCTGAAATCTGAGTGGCTAAACACTCTGCAATCCAGACAGGCTTCACCCTCCATCTCTACGCCTGCATCTCAGGACTTAAACACGTAATCCAAGAATTTCTTACACTAATTTATACATTTTTAATTGGTTGCATATATTAACATGTACTATAAGATTCTTTTCTAAGAAGCATTACATAATAAATGGATACTGTAAAAAGATCTGATTAGTTAAAAGTAACAAGCATTAACAGATACATACAAAACTCAGCCTGATCAGACTGGGTGTGAGCCTGTAATGAAGCGCAGGGCACCCGCCTTCCCAAGTGGTAGCCTTCATGGGGGTCGGGGGGTGGGGGGGTAAAAAGACCACAAGACAAGTTAAAAAAACCAGAACTAATTAGACACAGGTTGACTGTAAACAGTTCTCTCTCTCCAGTGGACAAAAAGAAGTCTCCGAGGCCGACTCCAAACCGGAACGATTTCTACAGCCGGCCCATCCTGCTGCCATCTGAGGGCTGACGCAGGGACCCCGATGGAGCCGTCACAGGCCTGGGCTGTGGATCTGTCTGTGTCAGGGGTGTGTGTATGTGTGCAGGGGAGACTGTGTCTGGGGTTCTTTTGGCAGCTGGACGTGAGAGATGACTGTGTGGAGAGGAGAGGGGCTCATGGTGGAAGGCCTACTTGTGTTCTTGGTTCGCGAAGGACTCTGTGCTCTGCTCTCCGCCACTTCAGCAGTTGCAGCTTTCTGCCGAGGCCTTGGCCCGGTCGTTCTTGTCCAGTTTGATGGGCTCAGGGAATTCATTGTACAGCTCCACCTCCGTTTCCTGGGCAGGGAGAGAGAGACAGGCTGGTTAGTCCAGGCTCGGGGAGACTCCCGAGCTCAGCCCGGGCAGATGGGGGGCATGGGCACGGAGCAGGCCCAGCAGTGAAGTGAGGGCCCTGGCAGAAGGTGCTCGAAGCCAAGTGAGCGGAAGATGGGGCAAGGTGACACTGAGTAGGCAGGCAGGACAGGGCCGACGCGCCCTCCGTGTGACGTCAGCCTGGGGGCCGCCGCCTGCTCCGAGGCTTCTACCAACGCCTGACAAGAAGGTAGACGCTCCCGTGGCCTGGATTTGGCCGCTCTGAGCCAGCATTTCCTCAAGGTTCCTGGGCGCTCCTCCGGCCCCCTACCTGCTCTCATCTTTCTGGACTCAGGGTCTAGCTTCCTCTTTGTATCTCCGGATCTGCACACGCAGAGCCCAGCCGAGGACGGATCCCTTTGTCCGGCGGGGATACAGACTGGGGTCAGTTCAGCGGGCCTTGCGCTGATAAGCATGTTTCCAGGGAGGAGCAGCCTTCTACTTCCTGATGTAGAGAAGTAATCTGTCACTTAAACACTGAGCACCTGTGCAGCAGGAACTGTTCAAGGATTTGGGAAAGCAGGGACTGGTTCTATCCATTCACAATTGCTATAAAAGTAACAACCTCTAGGACTAAAAAATACAGCACTGTGCGTGTGCCGTGTTGTCGAATATATTCAAAAGTTGCCAGCCGCCACCACGCCGTGATTCCAGGACACTTCTGTCATCCCCAAAAGAAAGTCTGCACCATGGGCGGCCACCCCGGACCCTATCTGATGCCCTCAGCCCTTCACACACACTTAGCTACTTTCTGTGTTAACAGAGAGTCCTCACCGGAGATCGGATTTGCTGGCACCCTGATTATGGACTTCTGGCTCCAGAACTGAGAGAAAATAAAAGTCTGTTGCTTTAGCCACCCAGTCTGTGGTATTTGTTAAGGCACCCAGAGAGACTAATACAACGGCTGTAATGCAATTCCAATCAGAATCTCAATAAGGTCTTATTTGGAGGGAGGGTGAAGAAAGAAAAAATGAATAAAATGAACCAAAAATAGCCAAGAAAAAAGATAAAATTAGTGAGGGGAGGCCTGCCTGATCAGGGGTCAGACGCAGAGGCAGTGAAATCAAGATGGTCCAGGCAAGGAGCAGGCAGACGGCCAGGACAGACCCCAACCTATGTGCATACTGGATACTCAACTAAAAAATTCTCTAGGGCCAAAGGAATTGAAAAAATCCACTGCAGTAACAGGTGAAGTGAGGTTCAATTCAAAAGCGCTCTTGAGCACTGCGGGGTCCCGCGGGAGGGCTGCCTATGGGCTCTGCCGTGGGGAGTGTCAGCGGAGCTCCAGGGGGAGGCCTGCAGCGTGCTGGCAGGAACTGAAGGATTACTACTGTCCCTGGGAAAGCCAGGTGGCACTTGCCCGCAAAAACACACACACCTTGCAATCTAACAACCTCACTCCCAAGATGCCAGCTCGTCACTGTAACGACGCTCTAGGGACAGCAATATTCAGAGAGGAAAACTCCAACAGTGATGCCAGCCAACAGGGAACTGGTGAAAAACGACTCCTGTACAGCCCGCAGGCCAGGTGCCCCGACTGCTGAGAAGCACGCCTTCTGTAAACCCGCTCCCAGGAGCTGCAGAACCACCCTGCCCTCTGCAGCTGCCACGGGCCCCTTGCCTCCGACCGCACACCCCTCACCTGCCCACTACAGACGACTGACAATGCTGGGACCTGCCTCAACGCACTGGCCCCAACAGAGCTGCTGAGTCACAAAGTCTTCAACTGGCACTTGCCAACAAGAAGCCACTGTTATTTCGGGAGAACAGTTGAATAAATAAAGTAAGAAAGAAAAAATGTAGGGAAACTTTATCCAAGGAATACGATTCCTAGAGCCCACAGTCTCTTACAGCTCAGATATGATTAAAAAAACCAAACAGGACTTCCCTGGGGGTGCAGTGGTTGGGAATCCACCTGCCAATGCAGCAGACACGGGTTCGAGCCTAGTCCGGGAAGATCCCACATACCGCGGTGCAGCTAAGCCCATGTGCCACAACTACTGAGCCTGCACTCTAGAGCCCGCACTCCGAAACAGAAGCTACTGCAGTGAGGAGCTCACGCACCACGGCAAAGAGTGGCCCCCACTTGCTACAATTAGACAGGGCCCGAGCGCAGCAGCAGAGACCCAACACAGCCATACATACATACATACATAAATTTGTTTAAAAAAAACCAAAAAACTGGATCCAATGATGGGCAGCAGAGCTGGGTTTCAAATTCCAGTTTATCCCCTCCTCAAATAGAAGGACCAGTCTGACCAGGGCCATCTAGTGGCCTGGCCACCTGACAGCTGCAGAAGGAAAGAACAATGCAGCTGGTCAGACCAGGGAGACCTTGGCTGAGGTCTCTGCTGCCCCGCACGGTTGAGGTTATTCACAAGTGAGCGGAATTTCTGGAAGCCTTAGCAGACCGTGCCATTACCCTCCTGGATAAACACAGGGGTTTCTGGCTACATGGAAAAGAGTCAGCGAGGAAAGAAGGTTAAGGACAAGGCAGCCAGGCCGGGGCTGGCTCAGCGGCCCATCACCAGAGGTAGCCAGACCACCGCTGGACACCCACCTGCTTCAGCGCGTTCCGGGCAATCGTCTGGAAGGCCTGCTCCACGTTGATGGCCTCCTTGGCACTGGTCTCGAAGTACGGAATGTTGTTTTTGCTGTAGCACCAGGCCTGTGCCCGCTTTGTGGCCACCTGGAAGAAGAGGCAGGGCATGTGTGTGCAGGGAACAGCAGCAGCGGGCAGGGAACAGCGGGAATCCCACCAGGGAAGGACTGTCCCCCCACCCCCAGCCTACCACCCACACCTTCGGACCCTCAGCCGCACTAAGATTAGAAGCAGCTTCTGAAGGGAGTAAGATGCCAGCCCAGGAAGAAGTAACCGTCCCTCCTGGGACCTCAGAGGCAGCCCTCAGCACAGGACAGGCCTGGCAGCTTGGTCTTAAGCTCTGCAGCCCCTTCTGTGACTGCTCACGGCACCTCACCTGACCACACACCTAGGCACCAGAGCCCCGAGGCCCTCACCCTGCCTCGCATGTCCTGACCTCTCCCCACCCTAGCCCATTTTCAGGCATGAGAAGGACCAGGTCACTTAGGAAAGGGAGAAAAAGAGATGAGTGGTCAGAAATACACCTAGCTACACTTAAGAGCCTACGTTCCCCAGACAAATGCTATTTGAAAGGAACCTAGAGCAATTTTGCTCAAAGCCCAAAGCATCTCCTGTACACACGAGGATCAAGGGAGGCCCCTGAGGCGCTGCGAGAGGCACCTGAGAAGGTCACACTCGAATCCCCTCCTTCCCAGCACAGAAAGAGAACGAGGCTCAGAGGCAAAGGTAATAATGACCCAAAGTCACAGCTGCAGGGGCAGCATGGGGATGTGAACTGGCCTCCTGGGCCCTGGTCCCCAAAGGCAGCTGGCCAGGAGGTAATGCACCCCCAGAGTCAGTCTGGGCTCAGCACAGAACCCTCCAAATTCACGCAGTACCCCCAGAAGCAGGGGGCTCTCACAGGAGAGGAAAATGGTAGAAAGCTCCTCCTGGGCACCACAGCCCCAGACACACCGTCATCTGGCATCTGAGTGTCCTCGTCAGATGAACACAGCATCAGACTCAGGAAGCATCCCCGATCTAAGAGTGCATGAGCCAGACTAAGTACAAGTCTGCCTTTGCGTCCCAAAGACCAAAATATCACACGGCCTC